ATTCACATCACAGTGCCGATACCCAGGAAAGAAACATAATGCATCATGCTGGCATGGCTACAAGGGGAAAGAGGGGTGGGGGACCGAGGATTTCCGGGGTGGGGTGGGAAGATCCGATACGTCATTACCAGCTAACAAACGCCGGACATACAAGACATAAAACAGCACAGCCAAACATAAAGGACGCTGGATTTAGGAAGGGACATGTTGGTGGGGTGGGGATGTTGGTGGGGTTGTTGTGGGAGGTAGTGGTGTGGTTGGGGCCATGTTATCACATGTAGCTACCAACTTGTGTGCTTTTTGAAAGTATGCGTATGCATGTGTGTGTGTGATATTAAAGAATGGGGTTATTTCATGGATACAATGTTTTTTATTGTCATGTTCGTATTTAAGCTTCAGCTCCATCTCCATTTCCATCGTCCTCAACACATCCCTATCCGATACAAACCCCGGCATTATAAATCCCGTGTTTCCGTCTTCTCTGCTCAGAAAACCACACCACCGGTATACATCTCACATCCGTTCTCCTCGTACATTAAATCCTCATGATGTGATAAAACATAATCATTGATATACCACAAACTTCCATTTTCACCCTGCTCTGAACAAGTCTACGCCCCACCGTCCCCTCTCCCCCCCGCTCCCACCTCTCCAGTAGCATTCTCCTGCCCAGCACCGCCCTTGTGCCCAGCACGATACACCACACTGCTCTTGGGCACAACCTTCCACTCCCTCGTATCCACCGCCCGATCCAGCCCACAACTCCTGCCCTGCCAGCCGGTCCCCCTTAGCCCCCTCGCCACGTTCCAAGCGCCCGTGATACAATCATTGACGCCGACGCCATTGACCTGGTTGCCCACGAGTCTGAGCTTGCCCTTGAATTCCTGGGATAGGGTGTGCGCGAGGTCAGCCAGGCGGTCGGCGTAGCCGAGGGTGTACTGGGGGATGCAGTCTCTTGACAGATTGGCAATGTGGGTGACGGGCTCTTCGGTGATGCCGAGGTGGCGTTGCAGCAGGGCGCGGGCATTTTCCACGCCTTCTTCTGCCGTGGGGAAGTCGGGCCAGCCGTCCCACCAGTGGCCGCCCATCATGACGGTGAGTTTGGTGCCCGGGGCGCTGTCCTGGCCTGAGACGCCGTAGCTGTCGAAGATGACGCCGAGGGCGCGCTCTGGGTTCTGCTCAAAGGGAATGGATTGCGGGATTAGGTAGCCGAAGCCTTGGACAGGGAGGAGAGAGGCGGGGGGTGTGGCGAAGTAGAGATTTACGGTTTGGACCGTGACGTAGGGAGTCAGGCCGGGATCGCGGAGGGTGGAGATGGCGAGGTCAAAATTTTGTGTTGTTTGGGAGTCAGGGGGCTATAGAATGGGTGTTAGCGGCGTGGTTTCGTTTGGGAGAGGATTTGTCGTGGGAGATGGCATGCAAAGAGGGAGGTAAACGTACACCAGAAGTCACTTGTACACCCATACCCCCTTTGACAGGTTTAAAGTCTTGAATTGGTGCTTCAGTCCTAATCTCGACATTCCCCTTGCTCGTCACCGCATCCTTCAGACTCTCCACCAACATCTGCAAGCCACCTTTGAACGTAAACATGGCTGCATTGTTCAGATTCTTTGCAAACTGCTCGTCGAGGTCAATTTCCTCCTTCAGCGCTTGCGCCACCTCATAGTCAGTAGGATGCACAATGCTCATAGTTTCAGGTGCACTATTCTGCATCTTCATGAACCCGGCAATGGCACTACCATAGCGTGCCTCGAGCGCCCAAGGTACGCCAAATAGTGTGCGCGCCGAAAGTTGATGCACGTCGCCAGCATAGATGCCATGGAGGCCAGCAGATACCAGATTGTCTGCCAGTCTCTTATCGAAGCGGCGGGCAATGAAGTGGCCAATCGTTTCGTCGGTCATACTGGAAGGACGTGGCTCCAGCATGGGATCATTGAGTAGACCCGAGATACCAGCCATGATACCTGTCCGCCACAACGAGAAGACCTCGCTGAAAGAAGGTATTCCAGTAGGAAGGCGATTGAGGCAGTCGGGATAGTATATGTAACGATTCCTTGCGCCGGGCTGATCTTTGGTCGTGTACGTGACTTGGTCAATGAGACCGAGTTCTTGAATGAGCGATGCGGTGGCTGTCGAGTTGCGTAGGGTTCGAGGACCCTGCTCGAAAACGACATCCTGGCCATTGCCCAAGTCCACCCGTTTGGTCTTGATCCATCCGCCAATCTCTTTGCCTGCTTCGAAGACGGTGATTTTGGCGTCTGGGAATTCCTTGCTGATGAAGTATGCACTGGACAGTCCTGCGATGCCACCACCAAAAACGGCTATGCTCTCAGGTGATGATGAACTTGTCTCGACAGAGCTGTAATTCCGTTGTTGGATACAGGGCGCATACAGCGCTGTTGAACGTGGTTGGAGGAGGGGTGATTGCCGTGGCTGTTGTGGCTGCAGCGGCAGTGTGGAGAGTCGTGTGTGCGGGCGGGCGGCTGCAAAGGGTCGACCACCAGCAACGAGTCGACGTGTCAATGTCGACGGCGCATGGCTGCTCTTGAGTAGCATTGCCGTAGCTGTGCGGCAATGGCTGGTGCGTGGACAATTGCGCGTCGTCGTGTCGAGCAATGGTGGGCGGGTTGGTGTCTCGACAAGTCCGAGCTCGCGCCGCTATGTGTGGCGTCATCGACTTGTGAGCTCTCAGCTCTCGGCCCTGTTTCATCTTCAACCCCCAAGATCTTCATATTCTAGTGAAGCAATTTCTTCGATGCTGTACATAGTACTAGGTAGCATGCATTCGGGTGGGGATGCAAGAACATGACGCCAATCAACATCATGTCCTGTCTGCTGCAATAGACCCAGTAAGCACATGGAAAAGAGTGGCATCACAGTGGCACAAGACAATCGTGTTACAAGAGATAGCAGCCCATGAGCCGCAAAAGAAACCAAATATTCGATTTTCCGAAACAGGAAATGCCTCCTCGTCGTCAGTAGGCCATGTCGATACGCATCTTCCCTACACATCCCATGGCAACCCATATCCAGAACCTATAGTACATACGCCCTTCTTCTTTTGCTTCCCTTTTTCATCCCAGGTCCATAATATCCTCCCCTGAATGGCCTCTCCTCTATGATCCTACCGCCGCCGGCTCCCCGCCCTGGACCTGATTCTGATTCTCATTCTCAGTCTGGTTCTGGCCAGGAATGATGAGCTCCTCCTGTTGGTTCTCATCTATAAACTTCCTCTCGCTGACGTGCTCGCCCTCTTTGGGAGCGACCCATACGTTCGTACTGTTCTTCTTCTGCCCGGGCGCATGTTTATACGGACAGCGTACATTCAGACAGGGGTTAAACTTGCACATGACGGTGCTGTGGCCGAATGTGCAGCCCTCGACGGTGCAGTCGGCTCCGTTCCTGCAAGGGGCCTTGGTAGGATGCTTATAAGGGCAAGACGAAGGATCGCGGCAGTTGGGCCAAAAGGCACATTCTTGCTCCGACTGGAACTTTTGTCGCTGTGCTGGTGAAGGATGCTTTCCAACACACTTCTTGTTCTTGCACGCGGCGCCATAGTCGCACGTGTCCTTCATGTCGACAGGTGTTCCGGGAATGGCGGCAGGCGATTGGTGAACAAAGGCGCAGTCTGGGTTGGAGCATCGGAGGTTGAACTTGCACATGGTGGCTGAAGGTTCTGGCCGCGTGTGCTCAATCTCCATACCATCGCCATTCTCTGCTGCGGGCCCTTCACCCATGGTTTCATCTTGACCGTCCTTCTTGACAAAGGCCTTTGCATTTGGGTTCATGCCTCTGCCGCCCTGGGGCCGGTCCATGCGCTGATGCAGTGGCTTCTTGGATGCGTTGCGGTGGTTTCCACCATTGAAGTTGGGGTTGACAAAAGCCGTGGGGTTGCCGCCAGAGAAGATTTGCTGCATCATTTGCGCTTGCTGCTCATACATTTGCATCAGGGCCATTTGTTGTTGCGGGTTCAACATGCCAGGCACTGGCTGACCATTGGGAGGCATACCAGGCATTGGAGGCATACCGCCCATGTTCATATTGTTCATACCGCCCATATTCATGTTCGCGTTAGCCATGCCTCGACCGTTGGCCATGGCCTCGATACCGCGACCAAGGTTCTGGCCACGGGGGCCCTTGGGTGGGTCGCGAGCATGTGAGTTAATCCGACCGACACCTCCGCCGGCGCCGCGCACGCGATGCAAGGCCGAGTCGTCATGGCGGTTCATGTTCTTGTTCATCTGGTTGAGCATGTTGCGCCCACCGCGCGCCGGTCGTGATGGTTGTGCGTTGCTGCCGTTGCGCATTGCTTTTGGACCAGTGGGGCTGCGGCCGTGGTTAGTCGTTGCAAGGAGCGAAAGAGCGGGCGGTGAACATACATGGTGCCCTGTGAATCGTTGCCTTCCATCTCCATGTCTCCGCCGCTCGCCTCAGCCTCTTGGGGGGCCTCCATCTGGGTCTCGACACTTTGCGCAACCGGTGCCTCACCAGCGCTCAACTGCCGCTTCAGAATCTCAATCTGCTCGAATAGCCACTGCGCAAACTGCTGCGTCTCTGTGTTCTCGGGACCCAAGTCGAGCAGATCGTTGGAGAGCTCGGCAGCGACCTGTGCCTCATTCTTGTCGTTAGCAAGCATGAGCAGGATGTACTCGAACAGCGTCGTGTCGTCACCGCCCGTAGTCCAGCCAAACTCGGCGAGCTTGGGCTGCACCAGGTTCTGCAGCTGGACGGCCAGCGGCGACTCGTTGGAGAAGTCGACTGCCATGGTGGCGGGTGGTGACGGTGTGGTGCGGCGAGTTTTTTTGTCGCGCGAACGCGGGCTGCGGGTGTGAAGAGAGATCTGGCTGAACAAAGGGAGTCAGTCAGTCACAAGAGGTGACGCGACTTCCTGCAGCAGATGATTATCGCGCTCTTGCTATCGGACGGTTGCCTGAGATCGGAGACCTGTGGTGTTGGAAAGAAGGCGCGTTTGGGGGGTGGGTAAAGGGTGTAAGGGTGTGGTTGGTTGGTGGGTTGGTTGACTTTGGTTGTCTTTGAAGGCTTCTGCAAGTGTTTGGCGAGCGCTGGTTTCAAGCTCTGCTTGGCAATCAGCGTTCGATACTTGCGGCTCCGGCACATTTGCCTTGGGTCCGTACAGACTCTACACCCTCGGCCACCATACCGGCGGTACCAGTTCGCCATACTACTGAGTGTGTCTGACGGAGATATTGCTAGGTCTGTTTACTAAACGATGATGTTGTTACCTTGGGCATATTGTGTATCAAGTACACTGTCATCCAATCAGAGGAAATCCCCCCTTATTTTTTTTCATTCGGCTCGAGTACTGTTGGAAGGATATTTACATTTCTCAAGGCTATGCCATCTATCGTTCATGTTCATGATAATCAGCAGCCTGTATGAGCGACCTATAGAGGACGAACTACAAGGGGACTGGATCTAGTACATGGACTGGAGTATTATGTGGATGCCTCACTGGATCAACATGTTATCGCTCGCTGTGAACACAGTACCTACGAATCACAGAAAGTTGACATGTTTGTACTGGTATGGTATTGTGTGTATACATATATAGGTATAAATCCATGTATTTGTATGGCCAACCCCCCAACCTACCGCAGTCTTCCAGAAGCTTCAGCCACTCTGCCGCACTCACATTGGAGAGCGCGCAGTCGCACGACATGGCTCTGCAAGCAGACGACAGCTTCGAACACCGTGACATGACGTTTGTAGACAATCAAAGGACAAATCCTTGAATCGCAGCAGCTCTTCACAACGAAGACAGCA